TACTCCCGCGGCGCCGTGATTGGTCGCGGCCGACTGCGCCGCTGTGGTGCGCACCCCCGGGTTGGGGGTGCAGGCATCGATCGAGGATCGAACGCGATCTACGCCGCTTTTGCGTGCGAGACTAGCGAGCAAGCAGACGGGTCGAGCGAGCGATCGAGAGAGCGAGCGAGAAAGATAGAGAGAAGGACGGGCAGCTGTCGGTCCGGAGGAGCCTGCGAGGACGAGGAGGAGATCGTGCCGGTGAGGTGACCCTCTTTATCACGTGTAAAGCCACGGGCGGATAGAGATTCTTGCTCGCACTCTGCGGACGGGAACGCCATTTTCGTGTTAGAGTTTCGTCGCGTGCGCCCCTTTGGCGGCGCGTATTTCGTAGCTTTTCTTTGGTTTGGCGTGCCGGCGTCCGTCCTCAAGTGCGAGGATTCTTATCGAATTGTGCCGTGAGCTACCGGAAGTGCCGCGTATCGCGTATCGAGCCACCCGGAGATCGTCACCGCGAGTGAGCCGCAAAGCCCTCGCGCACGAGTGCGCGAGCGTTAATGTAAGTGCGCGAGTACTCGGATCGCGAGTACCCCTCGTCGTATCAATTTGTGTTATTGCGCGCGATTCCGTCGCGTTCGGTTTAAGTAGTCTTATATTTGTTTTTCGTCTTCGTCTGCGCGTCCGGCGTGTGAACTTATGATCGGGATTGTCGACTGTCGTTAGACCTCGGTACTCGCGTCGTACCGAGCCCCGTTTTCATTGTACTATTGCGCCGTGCCGGATTTCAATTGTGTTCCTATCTACCGACCGAATTTCTTGAACTGTTTCTTTTTTTTTTCATTACGCCGGAACTTATCGCGCCGTATGACTACCTGCGTTTAACAACGCCAGACCTGGCTACTCATTTTTGTTATATTTCTTTTTATTAACGAACTGTATAACGTTTTCCGCTATTTCTTACCGCCTTGCTACGCGGCTAATAAACGGCATCATTATTATTTTCTAAATTGAAGCACGAATTCTTTCGCCCGGCCCGCACCATCCTACCGTCCGTCGCTTAGTTCGCCTTTAGTTCCGCCTTGCCTCTCTACCCTTAGGTAGAGCCGGCCGGCCCTCGCGCGATCGACCTTGAGGAGCAGCGTCCGTTTGTGAATTTCGGGTATCGTTGTGAGCAATTGCATTTCGTTTGTCGTGCTATTGCAGTAACTTCACGTTTCGCGAGTGACGTGCCGCCGAGCGCGTCTGGCGCCCAATTTTCGCGTCGCTGCTA